TAATACTTGGTCCAAGTAAGGAAAGTTTGGCTTCGGGTTTGCCCTTAAAAATTGATGTGCAATTTTCAGGCATTGTGAAAGGCTATGAAGACATGACAATGGACAAAATTTTACTTGTGCCTTGAAAGACGTTATTAGGCTACAATAAGAAATGCACTGCTTAAGTAGTCAAATAAAGTCATAAGTTTTTGGGTATTGATATATTTGGGGTTACAAGGTGCTCACAGGAGGAATACCTAACCCATTCTTGGAGACCCAATGAGAATATCCTATCAGGGAGGTCTGAGCTGAGATGTGCTGGAGGGGAGAAGGAAAAGCGAAGTCAGGGAAAGTGGACCTTTGTGTCACATGACCATATCTTACCAGAGAGTGGCCTTTAAGAAGAAAATATTAGGTGGCTCTAAAGTGTAGGCTGAGCATAAGCAAAGGATACATGGCACTAGAGAAAATGGCAGGGATCAATTATAATGACCCTATGAATCAAGAAGGTTGAGTTTTCTCTTCATGACAGTGAGTCATTGAAAGGAATGACGTGAGTCCAGAGGGTGCTTCAGAAGGGTACCTCTGGCCCATTCTAAGTCCCTGTTGAACATTTGCTACTGTAGGACAGCACTGCCTTACCTCCTTTTGGGACAGGATTTCACGTGCATACAGATGGGCTAGCAACAGCAGAGGCCAGCCCTGCACCTGGAAGCACAATGTCATGGGCAAAGCAGTTTCACTCAAGCAAGCCCTTTTTATCATCTGTCAATTACAGTCCTTTCTTCCTAGAATTTCTATGAATCACAGGAACTCAAGTTTCACCCACAATCTTTCATCATGGTTTAACCAACAGGGAACCATCATAATCTAGTAGTCACATTGCTATTGGAAATAATATTGAATAGGAAATACGAAATATTGTATCTCCCAACCTGTGAACTGTATGAAACACTGAGTTTTTGTTCTCTATAAATCAAAGAATGAGTCCTAGGAACAATGAGTTTAAGAGGAGAAAAATATTTATTGATAGGAAAACTCCTGAGGGGAAGGAGGGGTCCCAAGTGGGAAGCTGGGGAATCCTACTTCACAGAGGAATTTTATAGGATGAAACCTGTGTGGGTACAACCTGCACCACAGCCATCCAATAAAGTTACAAGCATTGTTACTTAGTTAATGATGGTCCACTTGGGAAACAAGTCATGTAACAAGTGTGGATGGAAAGAACAAAGATTCCCCTAGGAAGTGGTGGGTCCAGAGTGGTCTGGTCACAGACCAAGTTGCTTAATGTCTATCTAGATGTCATTAGGCCCAGTGTCTGTTCTTTGAGGACATGTGTAGGTCTGGCCATCTTCTCTTTATCTTGAAGCCTGGTTTTCAGTTGATGTGTCTCTGTGCAACTATGTATGTTGCACCCTTGTCTTGACCTTCTTGAGGATCTAGCCCTATCTGATGGCCTATGATATTTCTACCTAGCTCATCTATCTCTAACAAAATGAATAAATAAAAAACTTTGCTGTCTCTTTGTAGAGCTAAGAAAGTTTGGCATTTCTATGACACCAAAGCTGCTAAACATGCAGAGATAGTTTTTCAGAAGCACTTTGTCTTTCAGACACTTTGTCTTTTCAGAAGACAAAACAGAGAGAGTAGCTAGAAGGTAAAACTGAAACATGGTTAGATATGGGCAAAGATAAGAAGCTTCCTGAGTTCAAGAGACTACTGAATATAAAGTGCTTTGATTGGCAGAAAAAATGCGGGGATGAAAAAGTTTGTAGTTTCAATTTAGAGTTAGAATAGATTATGAGAAGTGAATCTTTCTAACTTGTAGAGTCTAAGGAGGAAACAGTGGGATACAACCATGTATATCTGGATTTGGAATGAATCTGAGTAGCTGAGATGTTAAAGATTTTTCAGAAGCAGGGAGAATTCTTGACTTCAAAAAATCTCTGCCTCATCTGCTATTAGTGTTTTACTCCAGGCAGTAATCTGGAGAAAAGAGTTCTAGAGCAGGGGAAGAGGCAGCCCCCAGAGGGAGGAAAGCTCTTTGGTAATTGACCGGAACAGAAGGGTGTGGTCCGGTGACCTAGGTGAGATCTGCAAAGAGGCCACATAAACAGGAAGCCCTTAACCAACAAACAGAATTATAAGAAGAGTTGGAGCAACCAGCACCTCACATCTCAAGGTTAGTAACCTTCTCAGAAAAAAGGCTGGATGTGCCCAGGTTAGCAGTATAAATTACTAATGTGAGAAAGGGTAAACCTTTTATTTTCAAGGTTATTTTGGCTATTCACAACCCCTTGCAATGGTATATTAATTTGAAGATCAGCTTTGCCATTTCCAAATAATGTAGCCAACTAACTTTATTGGCTTCTTTTAGAAACATTTGCATCATAACAGTATTATATTTTCCAGTTCATGAACATAGAATGTCTTAGACATATTGCCTGTATATGACTTGTCCATATTTGGATCCTAAAATTCTTTCAGCAATATTTTGCCACTGACAGTGTGAAGTCCTTGGTCAAATTTATTTCTAGGTATTTTATTCTTCTGAGTTCTATTATGAATGGAATTTTTTCCTGATGTGTATTGTTATTTTTTCTAATGTGTATCGTTGTACCAGAATATGAAAATTTTTCATGTGTTGATCTTCTGTCTTGAAACTTTGTTGAATTTGTTTTTTGGTTTTTGGTGGATTTAAAGAGTGTTAATATGCAAGATCATGTCATCAGCAAATAGGAATATTTTATTTCTTCCTTTGAAGATTGTATGGTTTTCATGTCTTTCTTGCCTGATGGCACTGGCTAAAACCTTCAACAAATATGAATAGTATCCGTGACAGCAGATATCCTTGTCTTGGTCCTCATCCCCAGGTGACTTTCCCCAGTGATGATGACATTAGCTGTGGATTTTTCTTTAAGATGTTTCAGAGAAATTCGCCGAGCATCTGTTTCCTTACCTATCATTTGCCTTTCTCCTCTGACAGATTTCATTCCTTTGGGCTCTTCCAGTATCTATGGAGGGGCTTCATGCCCTCCCAACTTTCAGCTTTAACCATAGGCAGTTATGGCTCTTCCTGGAACCTCTAACCTAAAGGCATAAACTGATTCTTTCTATGCAGCTCTTTGAGTTGTGTGCCACCCCTTTCTATTTTCTTCTGTTTCTTATTACCTTTTCTAGTTTCTCTTATGAAGTACCCTCTACTTAATTATTAGATATGTTTTCCTGATTGGACTCTGCCTTGGATACATGAAATTAAAAAGATACTTATTTGTTATATATCTAGATGGCAAAAGGTAATCTACTGGCATTTGATTCATTTACCTTTATGTCTGTGGAAACCATTTTAGTCCAAGCTATCATTCTATCTTGCTTAGGTTTTGGTAATAGTGTCCTCAGCATTTATTACCTTGTCTTTCTCCTTCCCAATCTTATCTTCATGATGCAGTTGGAATAATTGCAAGTGTGTGTGTGTGTGTGTGTGTGTGTGTATGATACAGATTATAGGATATTTTAATTGCCTTGTAAAAATGTGGAAATTTATTATATTACTTAGTATTCTCAGGCTCCAGAGTTGATGGATTCAGTAGTGCAATGTTATCATCTAAGATCAAAGGTTAATCTCATCTCTCTGCCACCCTCAGGCTGTTTTCCTTGGGGGTGGATGACTACAAGAACTGGGGCAATGTTGTTTCTTGTCTGTGTTAAAGGGGGCATAGGTTTTTGGTGTGGAATGTAAATAATTTCCTTTACTCTGACTGGGTCAATTCAAGCTATGGTTAGCTTTTCCAATTCTCGAATCAATCATAGCAATCAGTGAACTAGCTTAGATTTTTAATATATTGCAATGTGGGGAAGGAATGGATATCTAAAGTCAAGTATGAAGGGTAAATGGGAGATGTTTAGTTATCTTCCTAATAATTTAAATCATTCTGATACTTTTATTGCTCATAGACTCATATTAGAAAGTCTATAAGAGCAAACTAATTTCACCTCATCTACCCACACAGTCTAATCTCTTGTCATTTTCTGTTCTCATGTCTTGTGTGTTGCTCCAGCTTGTACTCTGTAAACACCGAAGAGTCTCTGGCTTGGTCCACCAGCTCTCTTGTCTATCTGGATTGCTCATCCTTGCATCTGGGTACATTCCCATCTGGCTATAGCTTCCTTATCCTGCAAGCTTTGGCACACAGGTGAAAGAGTCTTTCCTGACCACCCTACCAAACGTAGGTTTCTGCTTGTCTGTTAAGCCAAGTGACTCTTTTATATTCTAACACGTTCTTGTTTTTCTTCTTAACCTAAATATTGCAACTATATGTTTATCTATGTGTTTGTTTGTCATTCAACATCTGTCTTTCTATACCAGGTTAGGAACCATACCAAGTTAGAAAACTTTTCTGTAAAACTTTAGAGAACATTTTGGCATTTCTGGGCCCTACTGTCTCTGCTGCATCATCACTCCATGTGCAGTGTGTGTGTGAATGTGTGCATGTGAATAGTGTGAGCACGTGTGTGTTCAAGAGGGATGTGAGTGTACATGTAAGTATCTGGGAAAGTGCACGTATAGGGTGTATGTATGAGTGCGTGTGAGTATGAACATGTGTGAGTGATCATGTATGCAGTATATCAGAACATGTTTAAGCACATGCATATGTGTGGGTGTAAGCACGTCCATGAACTGAGTGTTAACATACATGTGGGTGTATGAAGGGATGTAAGTCTGAGGCAGGTTTTAACATGAGCAAAGGAGGTCCATTAGGACGATACTGTCTTAAAGATTTAGAAATTCTTGTTACTCATGCTAACTCAAGTTTTGTAGTATTTTCTTGAAGTTAAGAGGAAATTTTGTAATTAAGACTTAATAGATGAAATACATTTTTCCAATTTCAGATATATAATCTTGAATCTTTGCCATTCAATCCATTCTCCACAGCCACCAAAGTTACCTTTCAAAAATATAAAATTGTTTTTATTATTTACATCCAGTTGTGATATTAAGTTGTGCTATGTTCCTTCCACAGGTGAAACTGTAAGGGTGGACAAGACCTCAGGTATTGTAATTTGTTCTGACTCTATATTTATTTTAAGATAAAAAGTTAAAAAAAATCAAATAATCGTGTACTCTATTGCCCCTGCCACTATTCCTTTGTATGTGGAGACCTTTTCACGGTCTGTTCATCAACATCAATGCAAATTTCTGAGCCTAGGAAGGAGGTTGACACAGGCCAGTTGAGGCACCAACAGAGCTGGGTGGAGACGCCATCCCCAGAGCTACAAGATGCCTGCCACTGACCTTCAATCTCTGCTCCAATTTCGCCTACTCCGCAGGGACTCCCTGGAGCTTCCTATATAAAAGGGATGCAATATTCCCCCTCCCTATGCTTGCTTTCCTGTTTTTACATTTCTTTTCAAATTTGTACTGTTAGGGCTGGGAATTTAGCTCAGTGGCTCTGCTGCTCCTCACAAGTTATGCTTGCTTTCCTGTTTTTACATTTCTTTTCAAATTTGTACTGTTAGGGCTGGGGATTTAGCTCAGTGGCTCTGCTGCTTGCCTCACAAGTACAAGGACCCATGTTTGATCCCTGGTACAAAAAAAAAATGTACCTTTAACTTACTGTACATATTTATAAAAACAGAGTTGTATACGCATATGTATATATTTATATATGGCTTATTTTAGCTTCTGTCTCCTTCTACTAGAAAGAGGTTTTTTTAATGTCTTGTGTCCTCTTTGCTTAGGACAGAGTTTCAACCAGAAAAGACACTCAAGAGGCATTTATTGAATGAATGAATCTCTAGAAAATGAGTCCTTGAAAATAAGCTCTTTCCCCGAGAGAGAAGTAACTGAAATCTGCACATCGGTGTGAGAACAAACCTGCCTTTGAAGCTAAGACCTTTTTCCTGTGTTCACACTTCAGAAAAAGAGGACACCACTGATAACATCAGAGAGGAAGGAAACGGTGCAGTGTGCTTGGCCTGTGCATATGTAACATTATACAAGTTATTTTTTAATAGACCAGCTCCCAAAAGTTTTCCACAGATGAATTATCTCGCTTTCCTCTTGGCTATTCTTCAAGTATACAAAGGTAATCTTTTATGCCTTTGTTTATAAAATTAGCTCTGCTTTCAGTCTTACTGTGATATGCACAGAATTTCTGAGATAATTTCTCACTTGTTCAGAAAAATTAAAAGCTTCTCAAATGCCAATTATCAGCAGTGGAAATTGCTGGCCTTCACTATGACCTCAGTTTACTGTCATTGTTAGGTTAAGATATTTACTTGTTGTTTCCATCATCAAGTCTAATGGAATCTTTGTGCTGTTGTGTATTTCAGCCCTATGTGAAGAGACATTTTGGGACACAACGGTCAGACTTGCTGAGAGTATGACTCTAGAATGTGTGTATCCCTTCGTGGCGATCTTAACCCAGGCAGAGTGGTTCAAGATGGTGGGCAACCAGAAACAGTCCATGGCCATATTCCACCCCACGTATGGTGTGATAATACGGAAATCCTATGAAAATAAGTTTCACTTTGTAAACTCAACAGCGCCTCGAAAAGACATGACCCTTTCCTTTAATAATGCCTCCAAAGCTGATGTGGGTGTCTATTCCTGCTTGCTTCATATTTTTCCATATGGATCATGGGAAAAGATGATAGAGGTGGTTCAGTCAGGTAAGGCCAAGTTTTATTTTCATTTTACCCACCTACAATTTACTTCTATAAAGCCCAAATGATGAAACTGCTGTATCCTATTCTGGTGACTTTTCTCAGTTCCATTTCTAGATTTTATGATGGCATTGTTCCAGAGGAGTGTCTCTATGATTCCATTTCGTTTTTCTAAGTGCGTTGTTATTTCTGAGGGGAGATACCTCACAAATCTGAATGTTGGAGGGGGAGCGGGGAGTGCATGTCTCATGTTGTCTTCATGACACGAACCCAGATTAAATTGATGTTGGCATCATGTGGATTTGGGAGCTGGCTCCTTCCCTTTTCATGCTTTGCCCAGCAGTGAGTACCATTCCCTTTTGCCAGGCAGTCAGTACCAGCTAAAACCCCTGGGAGTTCAAGGTCCTTTCTGTGTGATTTTATCAGGTGAATATATTAGTGATTTTAGTAATGAATCCTAAACAGGCTTCAAGCAATGGCTCCATCTTTTACTACACCCACATTTGGTGAGAGAGGACTGCTCACTGTCATATTAGAAATGAGTTCTTGAGATGCTGCTGTATCTACCAGTGACTGTGGTTTGAGCATTCTAGTAATGACTGCATTGAGTGGATATGGTATTTTGAAAAAAGTTCAGTTTTAGAGCCTTTACTTTCTATATAATCTTGTGTTAGTGGCTCAATCCCTCTTAGGCTCTCACTTGCTTTGTTGAATGGTTCAGGGATAATGTATTTAAATGACTTGGTACAGTCATTAGAGAATTATGGTATGATTATCATCACTATTACTATTATTTTGTATGTCTCGGATGCATAATGATTAATTATGACATTTCAAGATATCCAGATATCTTTAAGATATCTAAAAAAGGGAATATTTTTTGAACTGTGTGCTTTTGTCTGGTATTCAAATTATACCATAGGGACACAGAAAATAATATTATATGACATCTGATATAGGGCTTTTAAAAATATAATTCTAAAGGATAAATTACAGAATCATTTGAGGAATAACAAATGATCAAGGGTTAAGACAAATTTCTCCACATGTAGCTTTCCTTTTTAGATGTAGTTGAGTTCAAGACCAATTTTGTGTATACAGCTAAGGCTTAGAGTATCAATTAGCAAAATGCCTTTAATTAAACACCCAGTAAAGTCTATATTTTTCCACTCAAGAACTCTGTTGCTGTATGCAGATACCTGTTAAGTGCTGTTTGCCAGTTCTATGTGTAGTGAAAACTGAGCGAGTAGTTCTGCATATGGCTTGCTTCTTCAGGGTTGGTCTGAGAAGGCTTCTCCCATCTGCCTTGTGTAGTGAGTCTTTGTAATTTGAGTCATGGGTTGGGCATTTTGATTTCTGTCAAAGGGCAATGAACTGAAAGCAGGTATATAGCTTGACCTTTTCCAAAAGTTTAAGGTAAAGAATGGAGCTCATTTGTAGCGATTGTTGCTGTACCAAGGTAGGATGTTTAGCAACATGTGTGAACGGTTTTGTGAATATTTTCATATTTTTGTCATTCAGATCTATAGCTCTTGTTATTTATTATTTATTTTTTTATTTATTTTTTGTGAGGTCAGGAAAAAGAGTTCTCCAACTCCTGGGACATTTTCAAAATAATGGCCAGATAATCAGGAGTGCCTAGCCCTTGACCTGATTTGAATTCTTCATTGCTTTTGCTTTTGATTATTTATATTTTTAAAGAACAGAGTGGGATAATGGGCCAGTGGGGATGTTCTAACCTACTGTGAAATTTGATGGATGAGATTCAAAGATGATAGTAAGTTTAAACATTATGTTGTATTTCAAAATTTACGTTAAATAATATCTAAGATGTCCCTTTTTGTGCCTTATTAACAACATATCAGGCCCTATAAATAGCACTGTTTTGTGCAGTTTAAAGGGGGAGTTGATTATCTATTTAACGATTAAAAAACCAAAGTTGGAATCCAGCAATCTTAATTGTATAACAGATTATAAAAATTTCAAATGGATGAAGGGATTTAGCCATAATATTCCTGAACCTATTGGTTTCTGCTATTACTGATAATGTATTATGTGTGAAGACTCCTAGTTATCAGTGCCTTATATGGATTTTCTCATTTAACCCAGTGCACACTTGAATGAGGATCTTACTTTGATTCTGTAGGTGAGATCACTAGGTGTCCTGAGGTCCAGAGGCCTTTCTGAGACCTCAAGTTTCCTTTGGGTCCTGCTGAATAAACTTGTAACTAGATGCAAAGTAACAACCTGGGGAATATGAGCCCCCAGTACCTCAAAGAAAGAGATATTAGTCAATGCATATCCTGTCCCTCTTCCTGCCCCTCAAATTTTTAACCCAGAAATGAGCAAATTGAATCTCTTATGCTGAATAAATGGTACTATTAATACAAAATTCTCTAAAAATATGTTAGCTTCAAAATAGGTGTTCCTCAATTAGCAATTTAGATAATTTAATGGTAATAAAGGATGCATTTATTTTATCCAATTCATGGGAAATTTTACTGAGATGACTTAGGATAACATTTCAAAATAAGCTGTTCTATAGCGGAGTCTATTATAGAAGTAGGGTCCTGGGGAAAATTATTCTTACCCCCATATCTCTGTCACTTAAAACAAATACAGTTATATTTATAGAAATCACCCATCCCCAAAGGATGAGCCACTCAAAATATTCTGCTACCAAACTTTTACTGGGTGCTTAGTATAAAATAACCAGTGGTTGCCTCATTTAATACTTATGAAACAGCAGGGAGAGGTATTGTTTTCTATTATACATATAGAGGTAGTAAGGTCAGAATTTTTAACTAACTTGTCAATGACTGGTCAGTCAGAGCACCAAGATAAGCCCTGCTAATGTTTCTGAAGTGCTAGTAATAACATAAAAGAGAACTAATTCCAATAGTAATGTGTCAGGGTAGTTCAAGGTAGGAAACATTGTGCTGGAACTTGATGTTTTAAGAGAGAGACTGTGAGGGAAAATGAGAAAATAGAGAATGTTGATGTCAGAAAGAAGGGCACAATGGAAGGGTAAACTTTGTGCAAGGGGCAGACTGGTTAGAGTACAATGTAGTTCTATCGACCTACCTACCTACCCGCCTCCTATCTATGATTGGCTTATGCAAGCATGGATGCTGGCAAGTTTATAAAGTATAAGCCAATCAGTCATTGATTCCCAGGAGAGCTGATGGAGCAGATGAAGCCTTAGGCAGTCTGCTGAGGAAGCTCATCTTGTTTGGGCAAGGCCTACGCACATTATGGCAGACAATCTGCTTACTCAAAATTCTGTCTTAAACGTTAACCTCGTTTCAAAATATTTGCTAAGTTCACACAAAATCTAACCATTACACTTGCTTTGGAAAATCATATGGCATTAGCTGGTTAAAGAAGCACGTATCTTATTAGGCCATGTTTCTACTCTGATATTTTAGAGATTTCCCATAAGTATCAGAAAGGTCCAGCAATATTTATAACAGTGATTTTAAGAGCAAAATAAAAAAATGATGACAACCCGAATGTCCATTGCTAGTAGAATGAACAAATACACTGGGGCTATTCATACAAGAGAGACACCCTACATCTTTAAAAAGATATGAATTGTCATTATGCTCACCAACAGGGATGATCTCAGCAACATCATGTCGAGGAAAGAAAGCAAGTTATAGAAAAATGTATATGGTATGATTTCATTTCTTTACAGATACACAGAACTGAATGATGTGTTATTTATACATATAAAACCAAATGTAAAACTACAAAAAGCCAATTCCCAAAGCATGAGCAGTAAGGAGGCAGAAAGAAAAGGGACTTCAAGAGGCTGTGAAGTTCATAATTATAGTAATTTTAACATACAGTATATGTGTTTTCCATTTGTCTCAAAACTATTTCAGAAAATTTATTTCAAATTACTGAATTTCTAGTAAAATGGTGAAAAAAGACGTGATTCTAATTTTTGAGCAGTTCAAAGATAATTGTCTAAATTAAGGATGAGATCTTCATTCTGAGGTAATAGAGAGGGAAGCTTCAAAAATAATTCTGAACTTTTATGATCCAAGGATGGAAAAATGATAATTTCATTTAAAAAGTTGGGAAATTAGGAGGATGACTTGGAAAACAAGAGAGAAAATGAGTCTGTTTCAGGTGCACTGAGGTGCACAGTGGCCTTTGGTCAGGTGACAATTGAAATTAGGAGAGAGTTAATCAGAAGAACATTTTGCAGTCATTTGAATGATACTGGCACATGTGAAATGACAGCAAAGAAAGTACTAATGGATGGGGTAAAAGTTTAAGGCCATAAGTTGGAAGATGGTCACACTGAAGTATGTGAGGGCATTTTGTGAAATAGGCACAGGGAAAGGAGGGAGAAAAGCAGGGAGAGCAAAGAGAGCTGCAGAATAGGTAAATTATTGATGTTTGAGCGGCAGGCAAGTTTCACTGCTGTTTATGGGAAGGAAAGGGTTATCTGTTAATGCCTCCTTCATTGAGGTGCTTTATATTGGTTGTGTTGTGCAGTTTTTCTGCGTTTGTGATTTTTCATATTACAGTCTACTTAGCTCAACTCGTGTACAGAGATGCTCCCAACTCCCTTCCTGTAAGGGTTTCATTCTCTTCTGGGTCGGACAAGCCTCTCTATTGTCTCTGGTAGTTCTTAGAAAGCCTCTTCTCCCTTCAAGGTTGACGTATTCTGCCTAGGTGCCAGTAGCTATGTAGCAGCTGAACTTTTCCTACCTTCTGACTTTTGTGGTGCTGGCTAGTGCTATCAGAGGTGTCCCTTTAATATCAGGGGGCCCCAGAATTGATGGAGGTTTAGAGGAATTGTATGATGGGGGGGTTAGATTATGCTGGCCAGTGACCAGTATTTTTTCTAATAGTGTGATGTAGGATTCTAAGTTGGAAGGAGAAGTATCCCAGATCCAGCTTGCACAGAAAGGTGAGCTGATTTGTCGGAACTGACCTTAATCCATTCATCAAGACTTCAGTGAGAACCTTCAAGATTTTGGGTAATGTTC